CTTTAAATACATCCCTAATTCCCTAGCAAGAACCTACAGGAACCCAGTATCTGTTTACTCTATTACCAGCCTTCCTGATGTATCTAATTAAAATCTTGAAGGCCTTTCAAGTAGTCTAAAGCAAGAATGACTATTAGTTTAATCTTCTTGGGCTCTTTTATACTCTCTCCTTATACAAGCCCTTCCTTCAATTTCAGAGCCAAATCTGTCACAGTAGTTTTGGTTTCTTCTAAAATGTTCTATTTTAACATGTTTTTTTCAGATGAATCCTGAGCTATGTGAAATATACCTATAATTTTGCTTTTATTTAAAATAATAGGCAATTCAAATAGCTACAGTGAAATGATTTTGGATTACCTTTTACAAATCTTCTAAGCCTCTCATCTTTAAAAGGGCAGGTTACAAATACACTCATAAACATACAACTTCCAAATGTGAATGAGTATAGAAAATGTGTTATCTTAGTGTACTTCATTTTCTAAAATATTAATCATTTGAAATTTATGTATAATCTTAGTGGGCTTCGTTTTCTAAAAAATTAATCATTTGGTATTGATGTAGCTATCTCCCTAATCCAAATAAATAAAATTCCTTAGTAATGAACCTTACAAACAAGATCCTTGCTGAGCACCAGAGGCTCACATCTGTAATCCTAACTACTCAGAAGGCTGAGATCTGAGGATCATGGTTTGAAACCGGCCTGGAGAATAAAGCCCTTGAGACTCGTATCTCCAATAAACTACAAAAAAAAAAAAAAAGCCACTAGTGGTGCTGTGGCTTCTAGTCTTGAGGGGAAAAAAAGAAAAGATGAGGAGCAGCACCCAGGCCTTGAGTTCAAGCCCTAGGACCAGCACCCCCCCAAAAAACAAAACTCAACCCTCCCCACAAAAAAACAAAATCCTTAACAAATCAGCACAATATAAAGATGTTCACTGAAGCATTACTTAAAACAAAAGTGAAAAGCACCTTAAGGCCAACTAAACACATTTTAATGCATTTATGCAGTGCTAGGAACTATGGCTCAGCTTGCTAACCTGCTTATAACTAAATAAGAATCTTTATGCTGAGGCTGCTAAATGCAAACATTTTCGTAATTCTTATTGCTATACCTTACCTACTTGCAAAACAAAAACCTGTCTCGTCTATCTTCTGACCAACCCTACAAACTCAATTCTTCTGGGCCACTAAGAAACTTCAATCACCAGCTTTCCTGTTCCAACACTTAAGCTGGTCAAGGTCATGGGTTGCCAATTCGTGGAGACCCACAATGATATTCATTTGCAGTTCTCACTATGGGCCCAAAAGAAGGAACTCTCTTAAATGTTTGCTTGTGGCTTCCTTCCAGGAAGGGCCCAGTTTATGCACAACCAAACATAACATGGTTATGTTGCTGATCTTGTCCATTTTGCAATACATTTTTAACTTTTTTCTTCTGAAAATATCACTTCTGGACTTTTATGCCGCTCTAACTCAAGATGAAATACTAGCTGTCCTTTAAAACTTTAGTTTTCCAGTAGGTGTTTATAAAGCAGGAAAACACAAACAAACCATTCACAAGTTCAAAACACTTTTCAAGGCAAAACTTTCTTCCAACTTTTCACACTCTGATTCTTCCGGTGTCAAAACACAGCATGTCTTCATTCGCTGGAATTGTAAATTTCTTTTTTGAGGGCAGGGAATATGGATTCAGAGCTTTGGTCTTAATATCTCAGGTAAAGTCCTATGATTGATTGAGTATAATGAAAATTACAACTGTTAAGAAAAAAAGTACTTACAATTCTTAACAACCAATAAGCTGTAATTTTCTAAGTTACTAAGAAAAAAAATTTAATATATAAACACAAAGATTAGCCATCTTTTTTCTAGATTGGGAATGTAAACAGAAGTTGACCACAGTTGTCTGTTAGGAGTTATTTATTAATTGTTCCACAGTAGTACTAAAGTTCATAACAAACCAAAGTACCAAATAAGCCTGAGCAGGGAAGAACGACAAAATAAGAACAGTTTTTCAAAGACCTCCTTTACTCTTTTGGATGCTGAAATACTCCAAGACCACGACTAGTAATGAGATAAATTTTGTATCTTTTTTTGTTTTCTCTTTTTCTTTTCCATTCCAAGATATTACACTAACATCCAGCCCATAATTTTTTAGCCTCTATAAATACATGTTTTCTCTTTTAGTAGTAAAATTTAAAACATTAAATTCTCCAGCTATCTATCAGCACTTCCTAAGTTACCTATTTCAATTTATAACATGCTTTACAAGTCTTACCTTGCACAGTACTTTTCAACCTGGCTAGTCACACCCAGGCTGTATTGAATATACATACAGTCTTAATGTTTTTTTTTAAACTCAATTATTATACCCTCTTTTCAGTAAAAAGATGAATTTGTCTTTCATCTTTACCAATATTAATCCTAGATGCTGCTTCTGTGTAATTAAAGAGCTTTAGTAGTTGACTTATTACATATTGTTAACACATTTACTTGATGGAAAATACTGAACCACTGTCAAAGGTAGCATCTGTATGGTAGTTGTGAAATGAGAATATGCAAAGGGCTATCACTCATTATTTGGCCACCTTACCATAAAACTCTATGGCTTTATGTAACCTAAATGCATTCCAAAAATGGCAATGAAATAAAACTTCAAAGACATTTTAAAAAGCAAATCTAACATCCGATGAGTCTGAGTTTAGGCATTAACTTTCTATTTGTACAACAAAACTGCAGTATTTAAGCAGTCTTCTCAGGAAGATGTTCTAAGTTAAACTGGTATGCAGAGGTGAGGTTTTTCAGTCCTCTTACCCGTCTGTATATTGATTTGTAATTTTTTATTTACAGATATTTCTGCTAATGTATGGACTTAAGAGATTCTATTAGCTGCCCAAGAGACTGTGACTCTAAAACTGTTGCCTCATTAAGAGTTTAGACAGAATCTTCTTAAGTTAGTCACACTTAAGTACTGCAATAGTTTAAAAGGCAAAACAAATACAAAGCAAGCAGAAGTAATTTACAAAGCATATGTTCTCTTTAAAAACTTAGTCTCACATTCTTGAGGTTTCTTTTTTTTTTTCCATTCAGGGTAAAAACAACAGAATATTCTAAGATGCTGTGCATGCTAATGTTCATTTTAAATAATAAAGGACATGAAAATACAAGTAGCACACCGTTTTCCTTAAGATCTACCAGGAACGGTAGCGTCTCATAGGAGGTACAAGCAGACTGGCAAGCCACCACAGATTTCTTCTCAATACCAGGACTCATTTAAAACAAAACAAAACAAAAAAAAAAACCACTTCTACATGTGTATGGAACAAACTGAGCCACCTCATGCAGTGTTCTATAGATTGTAACCAAGCACCAAGGAAAACACCAAGACCACTAAACTTTAAAATGAAAGCCTTGACACATTTTTCTCTCAAAAAATAGTACTTTTGAGTTTAAAAAGCTAATTTTTTTTCTTTTAAAGAAAGACAGTTTTAAAGACAGTTCTGTTTAACACAAACATATGAATTTGGGACCTAAGGACTGCATGTCTTCACTAGGCCATACTGCTTAAACTATCACTGAAGTGTAAAGGCCATTTTTAAAGGCAAACAGCTATCAAATACCAGATACAAGGAGTGAACAAAACATTTGCCTCTCATGGGTGTAATACAGAAAATTACATTGGAGGTGCAAATATTTGTATCTGTTTTTGTCATATTAAAAACTTAAAAATCTTTAAGATTTTTCATTATTCCTATTATTGAACTACGTCACAAATTATTGATCAGCAACTGCTAAACGATACAAGTCATCCTGAATTTACAGTAATTCAATAGAAACCTAAAGCCTTGTTTCCTACTTTTTACCCTAATATCTTCAAAGTAAAAAACAGGAGGCTGATATCTGAAGATCGCAGTTCAAAGCCAGCCTCTGTAAGCAAAGCTTGTGAGATTTTTTTTTTTTTCCAACAAACTACCAAAAATCTGGAAGTGGAGCTGTTGCTCCAGTGGTAGAGCACTAGCCGTGAGCAAAAGCCCAGGGACCGCGCCCGGGCTCTGAAAGCCCCAGGACGTTATACACACACACACAAAACTTCAACTTTTAAAACTGTCAAACTGAGATTGAGAAAAACAGAAAGTCAAAGAAAACGGCAGGCAGGTAGGTTAAAAAAATTACCTTTTTAAGTATCTATTTTAAACAGAAATAAGTAAACCAAGTATAGAGTGAAATCAAGGCCTGGATTTCAATGTAGACTCTATGGTTGAAGCTTCTGATTAGCACTTACATTCAAGCACATAAACAAATCTGGGGCCCCTGCCTGTACTTAATATACACCACGTTTTTTCCTACCACACTATCATACACGAAACAAGAAGTCTCAAAGACCTCTTCTACTGTCAATAACTTCATTCCTTAGTCCCAACACCTGTGACAGTCAAATTTCAAAGCACAATTCTCTCATAATCCCAGATATCCATAACAATGTTCACCCTGAAAAGTATGCATAATTTACTTCCAAACACTTTTTCTCTCATCTTCAATATCTACATGGTTTAATTCACTCTAATTTATACATATACCCTCAAGCTCTTAAAATTGTTATGATTTAATATTTTTTCCTTACTGAAAAGACTTAAGACCATTTAAATTTGTCAGACTGTCATTTTATTATAACCTTTTTGAGGCAAAAGGACACCAAAAAATACTGGAATCTGATTTAAAATAAAATCTCAATAAGTGACCTCTCTGGAGTAATATTTAGGATGGCAAACCAATTTCAGTAAAATCTGTTCTAGTTTACATTTCATTAATTTCTATTCTTCAGATTGTGCACACCTAACAAAATATTCAACCCACTTTCGAATAAGCCTAGAAACATACTTTAAAAGTACAATAAAAATACAAGCTCCTAAATTGCAGGTTATATCGTTAACGTATTTTATGAAATGGAAGTCCATTGAAATCTGGAAAAAAAATGTGACTGATTAAGTGATACCTCCTTTCTTCAATTTGTGATTAACAGGACTTTTATTGGTAGTAAACTAGAGCAAACAATCAAGAATAATACATATGCAGTATTCAGTACACACAATAAAAGTTAAAAGAAATTCAAAACCTGTATAAAACAAAAAATAAAAATAAAAAGAACTGTAGAAAAATCATACAGCTTAAGAGATACAGTGGGAAGGAAGGTCCTCTCCACCCTCTGGTTACAGCCTGCACTCTGTACCAAACAGAACTTACCACACTAAATGAAATTAATACAGACGTTTTAGTACTGTGTGAATTTAAAAGTATTAAACACATTTTCTAAGAATCTTTCAATGACAAGTTGGTACCCTTAGCTGCTAAAGCTAAATGGGGGGGAGGGAGGAAAGGGGGGGGAGGAAATTAACTAGTATTTTGTAACCATTTTAATTATTTCTTATTTTTCAAACACTGCTTTTATAACAGAAGTGTTTTACACTTGCACAATATTAATTACTTTATTATACATGGAAGCCTGTGGTAGGCTGATTACACAATAAGACTGCAAACAACCAGTGGTACTTTTCTGACGTCAGAAGAGTACATTGAAACATCACCAAAAGTACATAAAAAAAAACTCATCAGCATAAACATCAAAGTACATTAAAAAATATAGTCAGGAAAAAAATACAATTGCTAAAAAGTGGTTTAGAGCAGAGCCACTGCGTATCAGTAGCTTCAAGTGGCAATCAGCATTCATAGCAAGTTCTGATGACTTCACAAAACCCCTGTACAATACTGACACACCCCTTTGAAATGTACATTAAAGGCTGTAATTCCAAAAAGAGGTTCTGATGGCACTCTCATCCCTCTCAGGAGCTAAGTCACCAGGTAGAATTATAATCCTATTACTATCTACAGCTCAGAGTATGTGGCGTTCTTATACATAGAAACCTGTATGGGACTTTAAAAACAAAACAAAACAAAAAAATGGGGCTAGGGATGTTTATCTACTGTTTAGTATTTGGATGCCATAAGACATATAAAATGCATAATCAATTACCTACTGGAATATAAGTCATTCTAAACCTAAAAGCCATCAAGGCAGGGACAAGAAGGAACAAGGAAGGTCCAGAACTCTTAAGAGGACGAGTTAAGAACAGGTACCAAAAAAACCCCCCGAAAAACCCAGAAATAAAGGTTTTATAAATACACACATACGTATATACGTATATAAATACGTATGTATATACGTATGTATATGTGTATATATATGTATATATATATATATAAGCATGGACGAGAGAATGTTTTTGAGGCCACATATAATAATGTACACCCCAAATTCCAATGACTTATGTTGATTCCAACCAATGCTCTAATACTGGAACCAACCAACCAACCAACCAACCAACCAACCAACCAACCAACCAACCACTTGGGCTTCAACACTACTAGACATCAACAGAATTGCTTAATGGAATTACAGCCTTCTTACACTCGGGATTGAGAGAGGGTGCTTTGTTGTTTTCCTCTTTCTTCTTTTTTTAAAGCTATCATTCCAGGCTTTGATCAAAGATCCAAGAATATTTGTTCTACCAGGCTGGAATGAATATGGTGTGGAAGTTCAGAGTACACCTAAAAGCTGCAACAAAACATAGGTAGCCCACAATCTCAGAATTTTGGATCAGCCCAGATGGAGATAGCATTTGAAATGTTTTCGATCCCTTACTTAAAAGATGAAATGTGTATTAAACCAGCCCAGAAAGAGCAATCTGAAATGTTTTAGATCCCTTAACTTAAATGAAATGTATATCCTATTTGTAAATTGGATATTCCATTATGGTGATAACATACATTACGGTGATAACGTACAGATTTCCCATGCGTTATTACACTTTCCTGAGAGTAAAGCAATTAGAATAACCTTAATCCTAGCAACAAAGTTTCTTTTTTTGTTTTTTGTGTCATTTTTTTTCTTTTTTTGGGAAGTTTTTGTTTTGTGGTTTTTTTCTTTTTTTGCATTTAAAACTTTTGGGCTATTCCCTGACAATCTATACATGTAAATCTGATTGCTAAACATTGTCACTTTGAATGTCAAACTATTTTTAATCTATTGATTTTGATTAAAAATCATAATACAAACAGAGCTAAAATCACACTAACAAAATAAACTAAATATGAAAAGTTGCATTGAAAGGGCATTACATTATTCTTAATAGGATCGTGTAGAAACATTCCAATGGCAGTGTTCTCAAAATAAAAGAAAGTTACGTTAGAAGACCTCCAGCCTGGTCACTTTCAAGACCTTACCTGTAACTCTGGCTGGTGGGTGTCTTTACTCTTGTACTACATGGCTCACTTACATCAGACATCATATTAGTATACCCTGAGAAATCTGATACTGAAGTCCTTACTCTATGGTCCACTTCTCCGTTAGAGTTAGTGATAAAGGTCATTGGCACCCTGCTGCCCGACTTAAACTGAGAACCAAATGCTTGTGCAAAGTTCTCAATCTGGTACGTTGTTCTAGGCTCTATGTCTTTCTGAGGATCGATCTGGCTAGCTAACTCCTGAGACGGAATCTGAAAGCTTGTTGAGGACTCTAAGTTTTTCTGTTGTTCCTTCTGACTAGTCAATTTCTGAGAGGTGGACTGGAAGGCTGATGAAGTCTCTAGGTTCTTCTGAGAATCTATCAGATCATCCAGCTCCTGGGAAGGGGTCAACTGCTGATGTGCATCCAAAGCAGATAAATAAAGGCCTGGTTGAGATCCAAACAACATCCCAAAAGGAGGCTTTGGCAATGAAGATGGTAACACTGAGGTAACAGATTGGCCGAAACCACACTCCAAAGGAGATGTAGTGTATATCTGTTTTTCTGGAAATAAAGTGTGGTTGTGGAGAGGTGAAGACAAACTGACAAACTGGAAACTGTGTCCAAGAGCGAAACTTGCGTTCGTGGATTTCTCAAAAGCCTGCTGGAGGTATTTGGAGTACTCTTGCAGCGAGCTTGGCTTCTCATTTGATGGTGTTTGGGTGCCTGGGCTCAAATTTTCTTCCTGAACCAATTCCGAGTGTTCTCCCGAGGCGTGTAAATCCACTCGTGGCTCGGTTATACTAAAAGGATCCTCTTTCTGGGATTCGGATTTGTTGGAGTATTGATCCAAAATACTCTGTAAAACCTCGTCGGGAATTCCAGACTTGTCGTGGCAAGCCTTAATTTCGGCATTTAGCGCTGAGGAGTCAATGAGTGACAAGGGCGCTTCGTTGTCCAAAACACTGACACCTGCGGACTGAATGACCGACTGCTGGGGGACCATGTGTCCCACGTTTATAGAGAAGGCACTGTTGCTGCTGGCAGTTGGCAAGTATCTTCTTTTCTTGGAAAACTGCATGGCGTCATCATAATTACTACTTATTTGACCTTGTTTGCCACTTGTACTTTGGAGAAGACTAATGGTCTCCGCACTGTTATTTGCTACGATGCCAAGTGAGCCACCTGGTTTCCCAGACAAGGCCTTCTGTCCCACCAGGTCTGGTAATGGTGACACAAAATTAAGGTAGCTTTTATCGGTATTCTTCCTGCCTCCTTTCTTAAAGATCAGTTTTGGCACCCTTTTCTGCAGGTCGTCTATACCAGTGCCGATGAGGCCTCCACTGGCAGACACAGTAGGCATTTCTACCGAGTAACTCTGCATGTTTATGCTATTGGAAATCTGCGACTCGCTTGCTTTGCCAGTCTTCTGCTCCTTATTTTCCATAGCTATGCTCTTGGACTTGGATTTTCTCCTTGAAGAACTTGTGTTTCCCTGAGACAACACAGCCAGATTGCCCATACTGTTGTGGTTTGACGACCCAGGTTCCGCACTGGTGGCTCCTTTCGCTATGGCTTCGCCGCACGTGCGCCTGTGCTTCAGCAATCGATCAGTCCTTGAAAAATACTGTTGGCAAGTGTCACACTTGTATGGCTTTTCTCCACTATGTGTCCTCTTGTGTCTCTCCATATGGTACTTCTGGATAAACTTCATGCTGCACTGGTCACATCCAAAGGGTTTCTCCCTGCTGTGGATTTTCTCGTGTCTCTGCAGCAGGTATTTCTGGATGAAGCCCATGCTGCACTGGCCGCACTGGAAAGGCCGTTCTCCGGTGTGGATGAGGACGTGTCTCCGCAGGTGATAGGAGCTCCGGAAAGCAGCACTACAGTGGTCACAGATATGAGGTTTCTGACTTGGGGAGAGGATGGCACCTTCTCCGTCTCCAACCGAAGAAGGTTTGGAAGACGCGCTCGGCTTCCTCTTGGCTTTGATTCCCTGAGATTCTGGCTTTGGCCTCTTTGCCTTTTTGACATTGGTGTCCTGCTTTGGCTCCTCGCTGCCGGGGTCGTCAGTCCTGCCACCGCCGCTCAGCAACACGTCGCGGTGGTGCTGGCCGGCCTGCTGCGGCTGGACGTGCTGGTGGAGGACGCTCAGGTCCTGGATGACGCCGTGGCCGCCCCCTTCCCCGGCCCCGAGGCCGGGGGACCGCTCCTCGGCCCCGGCGGCGAACAGCCCCGCGTAGTGGTGGTGCTGATGGTGGTGGTGGTGGTGGTGGTGGTGGTGGTGGTGGGCCGGCGGCTGCTCCTCGGGGTCGGCGGGCTTCTCCTGCTTGATGCTCACCAGGGACTGCAGGAAGCCCCAGGAGGTCCTGGGCGCGGGGAAGGCCGCGGCGGACGCCGCCGGCTCCTTCTTGAAAGTCATGTCCGGGGCCGGCGGAGGGGGGGGCTCGGCGGCCGGGGC